TCAGAGACATTACGTGGTGCTCGTGCTCTACACCGATCGAGCTGTGAGCTTATAACCGGTAGACCTTTTGTCTCCCATGGCTAGGTTTTACGGGAAGATGGCTATCGACCGCTTCCTTTCCTCCGAAGAGGATGGACCAGGATACTGGCAGCGCGCCCACACCTGACAGGAGAACGACTCGGGTCCTCAGCTACAGCCTTCGATTAGATGTACACCCAAAAGGCAGCGGGTCTAGTACATGGTCAGTTCACTGACTCATACGGATTGGTGTCCTGGATCTTAGCAGGGAGAAGGGCGAAACCCAACTACCACCCAGTTGTGGCCACGAGGAGGCGTCCAGGACATGAGCCAATGGCACAACAGTAACAGCAGTGGGTCTATCACCTATCGGGATCTAGCCACAACCAGCCTCAGCGCACCATATATATATATATATATATATATATATATATATATATATATATATATATTCGCGATTCTTCCGCAAATCAGCATTGGTGACGAAGTATTGGTAACCCCTTCCCGCTTCTGCTGCCTTCGGACTGTGCTTTAGATGGGCTATCATTTGACTGTGGGATTGATATGCGTATTTCTTAGACCGCGGCGTCTTTCGGGACGTTTCGGTAACGAGTGTGAAACTGCCACCAGCTTGCCGTTTGGCGAAGCTGATGCCGTCCAAATCTACGGTGCTTTCCATTCTTCTATACGGTAAGACGTTTGGTATCTCGAACGGTATCGTGAACAGTGGATGTTATCTACATTGATTTCAGTGAAGCTTTCGGTAAACTGAACCATGAGGTCCTGCTCCACGATCTGAGGGTGTGTGGTGTTGGTTGCGCACCACACCAGTGGGTGAGTGACTTCCTTGTTGTGAGAAGATGGCGAGTGCAGGTGGATGACCACCTTACGGACTGTGACACCTCCATTTGCGGTGTACCCCAACTACCAGTACTGGGGCTTGTTTTATTCCTGATCTACATTATAGAAGTGCCTCAGCTTCATCGGACACCTTGTGCACTGTTTGCAGACGGCTTTATTTGATGGGTTATTCTTTCTCCCGACGACTGTGACGTCCTACAGCAGGACTTGATCGTCTGTCCGGGTGCTCTGCAAAAGTTGACCTACCGTTCAAGTCGGCCAAGTCCACGTTTGTGAGCCTAGGGAAGGGGTGCTAATTGGTGTGCGTACACCCTGTCCGGACTCCCGCTGCATCCCAGCAGTTCCGTAATGGATCTAGACGTACCCTCACGCTGTGATCTGAAGTCTGTCGACAACTCGAACAGACTGTATGCAAACGTAGTACGCCTGCTTCGGGCACTTAGACGCAGCTTTTGCACTTGGTCTGAAGAGATTGCTACCCGTCTGTTCTCTTCCATGATAAGACCGGTGCTTGAGTACGGCTCACCCGCCTGTTGTCCGAACACAATAGTTGAGGTGCAGAGACTGGAACGGGTCCAGCATATGTAGCTATTTGGCTCATCCCCAGTTTACGGTGTATGTCGTACGAGGACTAGTGTAGGAGTTTCGGGCTTTATACCCTGTCATCTCGTCGCATTCGAGTTGATCTCATTATGACGCACAGCATATTGCACCTGGGCCACTTCCCTATGTTGAGGCCGGTGCTGCAGGTTCGCGCACCAATCAGCACATACGGACACCGGTACTAATTGGTGGTACCGGATGTAAAGTACATCGCTCAACCTCTATGTTTCGAGTGTTGAGTGATAAAATGTAGGAACAAATTGAAGCAGACGCTAGTCGAGGGGAACGCGGTGTCGGAATTTAAGAGATTTCTTGATGCCCACATTGCGGACTATAGGTATAGGGAGCGTATCGCACCAGGATAAGATGTACTGCGGCTGCAATATGCTGCCACCGTGCAGGAATCAGCGAGGTGATTAAGCGCATGTGCTCGATCCACGTACGATGGAGCAGCACAGATTATTTTTTCTTCTCGCTCTCTATTCTCAGTATTCATTGTGTGCAACGGGTTCTGCGCATTGGTTATTGCGACAGAGTTGCAGACACGGAGATGTTGCGCCAAAGTGGTATGCATGCAGTGGACTGCATCCTTTTGTTGAGACACCTGAGGTGGCTCGGTCATGTGTGCCGTATGCATTCGACGCGCATACCGAAGCAGCTGTTATATGGTCAGTTGAATGTGGAGAAGCGGCATGTGGGGAAACGGGAGCTTGCTTACCAGGACATGATCAAGATGAGTCTATCACGTTCTAATGTTGATTTCAGATGTTGGGAATCGATGCAGGTTGATCGACGTGCATGGCGCGTATTGATCATGAAGACAGTTGCTGAAGTGCAAGAGAAAGACCTCGTGCATGCAGAGAAAAAGCGGTAAGCGCTGATGGATTGTGCTCCGTTGACGTCGAGGGCATGGTGCTGTAACACTTGTGGTCGCGAGGGCCTGAGTCAAGCTGGTCTAGGGAGTCACAAGCATGGCCACTGGGGGCCAGATTCGAAACGAAGAGGGGCACTGCTGAGAATGTAGTCAGAACAGGTGCAGCGTTGTTAGGTACGCTGCATTCGTTTTACTAACCGCGTGCTTGCTTGCTGAGTTTCTTTATTTCAAGTGATCAGTTTACTATATTTCGTTAATATCTATTTTGTTACCTCATTTTTTTGGCTGTCTGAGTAACCTAGTATCTACTTACACACGTTGTCTAAACGAAGCGATTTATTTCCTTAATTTTACTCACCTTTGTTGCATATGTTTTTGATCCGTTTTTCTACCATTTTGTGTTTATCGCGGATGTGCTGTTAACGCATTTGCTTCGTATGCTAATTTAGCGAAAAGTTGTGTCGGAAATGCTTTTGGTTTTCGATATGGTTTTATTTGATATCGTCGTTTCATGAGATTGGCTGTTGATTGACATTCCCGCTGTGGTTGGGCTTGATATGCATATTGACAAGGTGCCTACCTGTCTTGTAGGCATCACCTCTTCTATACTGGCCTTAAGAGACACTTGGTCGTTGCTGGAGGGAAGGGGGTGCACGGTCCTCGTTACCGCACTAGGCTCGAAGAGTGGTTCTATGCAGTGTGATGCGGCCTACGTCCAGCCACCGTCTTGTGTGCGCTTGTTTCCCCAAATAAAGCGTGATTGTGTTTGCCTGTGAAGGAGTGTGGGCCGGCTTCGTTAATGTAACATGGATGCCATCCACATGGTTTTACACTGGATATGGTTTGTGTGGGCGCTGCAATGCAAGCACCCATTGTCCGTCTGTTGGCGCATACGTACTTTGACTTTGCCCGTGGAAACCTCCGTAACAGGCAAATCGGGAACTGTATGCTTTCACTCATATATGATGTGAATGTGAATGTATTCAGTCTTCTCTCGACTTTTTGCTGATTACTAGCAACTTTGCTTTATCAGTTCGGAATGATGTGTGCGGATAATTTTTACGATGCCGCCATATTGTGCGCATATGAATCACTTTCTAATCGAATTAATTTGGAATACTTTTATCCCGGGTTGGTATGTTCAGCTGTTTATTGGTTACTCTGAGCTTGATTGAATGCTCGCATACTTTCCGCCACTTTGACGATGCCACCTCGCTCGGTTTTGTGTGTATTTTTACTTTCCTCTTTGTTTCACCATCACCGCACTGCCATTTTTATTTTCGGCTTCATTAACTCCACAACTGCTTTTGATGCTAAATTTTCAACTGCCGTTGAATTCCATTTGTGTTGTTCTCTTTTTGACCCTAATTCTTTCACTGCCCACTTGTTTAGGTTTTTGCCACGTGAACTTTTCTTTTACTATCGCGTGCATTGGTTGAATTACTCCCAACTGGACTCAGCCAACTAACTGTTTTCCGTTCGGAGCAGCATTGGACAGCTGTTTTATCCTTTTGGTTGAATCCTCAGTGCAGTGTACATTCTTCTGTTCCTTGTGAGGCTAGGACCTGCGGCCAAAATCATGCAAATCCGTGCTTAGGTTCACCGGAGATATCAACCGACTTTTCTAATTTGCTGATTATAGTGCGGGTATAATAAACATGGGCTCATTTTTTACCGCTTGGCTTTTGAACGTATACGCCTTGTCGCGTCTTTTTATATATGCGACGTCCTCTCTACTTCCTCAACGGAAATCCGATTGCTCAATACTCCGAGTTCTTACTCATCATATTTCCGCTAATTTCGCAGCGTCGTTGCGTATTTTTTCATTAATCAAACACTTACTCCATATTCGTGAAGATTTCTGCTGCCATGTGCAATTTCCGAGCGAGGTGTTCCTGGTTCGTCAGATAGTCTCAAAGGTTTGTTCAAAACATCGTTTCTCTCTGTCCTTTGATTATGTCACGCTACATCGTCTACGTTACTCGAATTCCAATCCAGTAGCACTCCCTAGATTAGGTTACAGAAATTCGCCTAAATTACGCACATGTTCATCACCGTCACCGTCTTTCCAATTACTGTGTGACCGAAGTAGCATTCAGCTCTTTGCGTGTTGCTTAGTTTCGTGGGCATATCTTCATTTCCACTAGTCATATTTATCGAGTTATGTGCTGTTTCTCTCGTTATCGCAAGGTTGTTTTATTTATCCTATCTTTTCGCGGCCTTTAAATCGACTCTTAGCATTTTTGTCGGACATCGTTTTTGCACTATCTACTGTGTACATACCAGTTTTCAAAGAACTTTGACACTTTGTTCTGATTACTTCCAAGCTCACTGCGACCTTCCTACTCATTTTAAGATACTGAACACGATTCGCGATTTGCTGCTTTTGGCTGCTAGGTTTTGAACCATCTGAAACCACTTATGAAGAAATGTTTTAGTAACACTCATCTAGACTGTATACAAATCCTGAGCATTCAGTTCCACAATGTGCTGGAAAACAAAGCTGTTTGCTTTCATTCATCCATTCGTAAAAATGTGTATATTATGTCATTTAGTCTATCTACATATGATAATGTAAAACTGAAACTACATCCATCCGGGTACATAGACTAATAGTGCTGTTTCCTCTTTTCTGCTATCGTAGACCATGGAATCCCATCCAGTTGGTTTCTCACTCACCTGGAGGTGACGCGTCTCATCGTTCAGACTATTCACATTATTTTATCCAGCGCAACTAAGCTTCCTCCGACGGTATGGGACTCTTTGCTTCAATTCTGCCTGCATATTTCTCATTCTACGCTATCCCCGCCACTTCCAGTTCCTTCTTGGCGTACACGTCAGAACTACATCGCAGTTACGCATGTTTCTTCCACCACTGCTTCAGCCGGCCAACTTGAACTAGGTGGGAGTGTCACCGGCGCAGATACTCAAATGGACGTTTTGTCTGTTGCAGAGTCAGCGGCGGACTGCGTGGCTGAGCTACTCGCTGCCGCTTGGATTCAAGCTTGTGCACACTGCTTCCCTCGCCCCCAGATGTGGATTGCCCTGAAGGAATGCGCAAAAGTTTGGCGTCACCATGCAGCATTTGTTTCCCACTGGTCTCGGGTTGTGTCTGTCCTCACAGGCCGATTACTGCTGGATTTACACTGTCCTAGCATGATGGCCACAGATACTGAAACCCCTTCCCTTTCTGCGGGTACGCATGTGTTAACTGACCTTCTGTTGTTACTTTCTCATGTTCACCTTACCGAGTGTTATTGTTTGCGTCCCTTCACTCACTGTCCTTACCATTGATACGTTTAAATCTGAGATCGTCGCACACTTAACTACATTTTAGTGGCTCCTCTTTCCATAGTTCAAGAACTTCTTCCTTGACCCCGTCGATTTACTCACACCTTCCCATGGCAACTGCACATTTCTGATGTCTCGTCACTTCCGTGGTGCGATTAATTGTCATCGAGCAATGTTGGATGACCCTCCTCAGCTACCCGATTTTCGTTGGTTTGTGGGCGGAAAATTCGTTACGAACATCGCTACCTTCAGCCCTTGTTGGTATATAGTTGGCGTTATCCGTTTCCGATTCTGCTTCTTTTTAAGACTTTGAACAGCCACTGAACGTCTTTGCCTGCTGAGGATCACGGCTAGCTTGCGCCGTACTACCTACAGCTCTGTCTACACAATCCTTTTCCAGGACAGGACAGGATCCAGGGCCGCAACAAGCTTTCGCCTGACGCGCTTCCCGTTTCGTGTGCCATTAAACGAAACACAGCCCCCAGGACTTCGACTTGATATTAGATTCTTGTGTCTGTAATAGAGGAAGACAATCGCAAGAGCATCAACCACAATAGTTGCATGAACTTACATAAGCTACTAGGACATGGTTGGTAGCTGTCATGAGCTCTCCCAGAAATTCGTGTAACTGGGCTAACCAGCTTCTGTCTAGGCATCGCTTGAAGCCATCTGCCATTTCACTCTGATAATGCGGAGAGAAATTTATTCTAGTTAAACACAACCCGATTTGCAAACAACTGAGCTCTTATGTCGAGTTCAGATCTTTGCTCTTTCAATTTTAGAAACGACACCGCAAGTTTCTTGATGTAGCTGGTTCCAAGAGATCAGTGGGCCTGAGACTACATGCCTTTGAGTGTTTACTAAGTGCTATCTCAATCTGCTTCTCCTCATTGAGAACAATCCTATGGTAGCTAACCGGATTTCGTACGATAATCCACGCTAGCCCTATCCCACTCGAATGGCCAGTCTCTGTACATTCTCAGTACAGTTGAAATCAGGTGCCGAGGCCTGAAAACAGAAGATGGATTTCAGGTTACGGAAGACCTACATAAGGCGCGGGAGTTGCTCAGTGTTTTCCAGAAAGTTCATCAAACGCATAACGGGTATCCAATCTAGCACAGCGTAAACAAAGGGAAACGGGGGAAATCGTTTCAACTGAATCTGATACTCTCAGTCCTGAAGGACCTACACGCCCTACAAATCCCATGCTCCTGATAAAACGAAAGGAGTAAGACCGGGAGGCATGTGGACGGGAGCCACGTTTCATCAACTGAGCCGGCCCATATTCCTTCACAGACAAGCACAAGCACGCTGTAATTGGGGAATTAAGCGCAAACAAGTCGATGGCTAGACCGTCGCCCACAGTGGATAGAACCACTCTTTGAGCCTAGAACGGTCACGAGTACCGTGCACCTCGGACCCATCCAACAACGACCAACTGTCTCTTAAAGCCAGTATAGTGGGTAATAAACAAGTAGGCCCACTGTCAACGTGCACATCAAGTGCAACCTCACCGGGGATGTCAAACAACAGCCAGTCAATTGAAATGATGATATCAAATAAAATAAATTGAAAACACCATAGCTCTTCCCTAAATTAGCATACGAAATAACTGAGTTACCACCATATCCGTAATAAATTCAAGATAGTAGAAAAACCGATCAAAGAACCATGCAACGGAAGAGAAAATGAAGCAAAATTAGCCACCTTTCGTTTTAGCGACAAGTGCAATGTCATGGAAGATTATTCAGATAGACATTAAAATGAAGTAAAAAAGCATTAAGACAAGATAGCCAACAGATCACCTGAAATAAAGAAACAGCACGCAAACACGCGGTTAGTAGGTCGAATAAAAGCGCATACTGCTTACATACCGACGTTGCGCCGAATTCGCTTACGTTCTCAACAGCACCGGTCTCCTTTACCGTACTCGCTGATGGCTCACTAGACCAGCTTGACTCAGGCGCTCGCGACCGCATGTACTACAGCACTATACGCTAGATGTCGATGGAGAACAGTCCATCAGCGCTTGCCGCTTCCGCAACTGCCGCATCTTCTCTGCATGCATGAGGTCTTTATCCTGCACCTCGTCAACTGCCTTCATGATCGATTCGCACCACACACGCCGATCAGCCCCCTTCGATTCCCAACATCTGAAATCAACATTAGAACGTGGTAGGCTCATCTTGACCATGTCCTGGTAAGGAAGCTCCGGTTTCCCTACATGCCGCTTCTCCACACTCAACTGACCATATAACAGCTGCTTCGGTATGCGGGTCGAATGCATACGGCACACATGACCGAGCCACCTCAGGTGTCTCAACAAAAGGATGCAGTCCACTGAATGCATACCACTTTGGCGCAACATCTCCACGTCTGCAACTCTGTCGCACTGACCGATGCGCAGAATCTGTCGCAGACACTGTTGATAAAACCACTCGAGATATCTCACATCTCGCCGGTACAGTGTTCACGTTTCGCTGCCGTAAAGAGGGACGGACAGTACCATGGATTTGTAGACCATCAGCTTTGTGCCGACGATAAGTTGGTGGTTGTTCCGCTCTCGGTACTCAAGCTTCCCGAATGCAGCCGCTGTCTTCGATGCGCGGATCCGAAGTTCACTGTGTATTTACTGGTCAGTCCCAACCACGCTCCCGGGGTAGCAGAAGTGGGATGTGGTTTCCAATATTTCGGCACCAATGCTGATTTGCGGCGTTGAAGGTTCAAAGAGGCAGGCGGTTTTGCCTGTGTTTATGTTGAGTCTGTAATTGGTCGGCGTCGAAGCCAAAGCATTAGTCATGTGCTGCAGCCCATCCGCACTGTGTGCACACAATGCACAGTCGTCAGCAAACAGCAACATACGGATAGTTGTCTCACAGACTAGAGTTCTCGCACCGAAACGACGGATGTTCAGCAACCCACCAACAATGCGGTGTTCCACACGAACACCGTAAGCGCAAGCCGCATCAAGAGCACACGACATAATGGCACGAAGATAAATACTACACAGGGCCGGGGCTAAGACATAGCGTTACTTCACACCAGAGATAACTGCAAAGTCATCCAAGGTCTGTCCACTCGCCCGTATACAATTATGCAGGCATTCAACTAAACTTGCAAACTTACTCGGACAACCAATCTTACCTAACACCAGCCACAACGCCTCGCGGTTCACTGTATCAAAGGCTTTGGTGAAATCAACGAAAAGCGAGTACAAGGGCTGGCGTTGTCCTCTGCACTTCTGCTGCAACTGACGAGCCGCAAACAACATATCGATGGTGCTGCAACCCGAACGGAATCCATATTATTTTTCCGCCACGTTCGGTTCCACAACCTGATTGACAGTGCGGTTGAGCAGGATTCGGACAATCACCTTGCCCACACAACTCAGCAAATTGATGCCAGTACCGTGTATTTTTGACATTCGCTTTCATGGTTTGAGGCTTGAGCTGTATGGCAGTATGCCACGAGGGGGCAAATGTCCCTCCTTTGCTTGCGCCGTTGGTCCTTGTTCAACGGTAACACGCACATCCTTCTTCTCGGCCAACAACTGTTCTGCAAGTCCTAGGATTTCCACTAAGTCATACTGTGAAGGCAGCATGGCGAGTTCACCATTCTTCTGTTTGCATCCCATTGGCATGGCGCGCTTGCCTTTCCGCGGCTGAGCAAGTATTCTCTGCATTTCATTTAGTGCCGAGATGTCGGCAAGATCTTCCAAAAATTTTGTCGTTGTAACCCGTGCAATCTTTTTTACGAGACAGTCAAGATGAATGGGTTACATCTGCATGCTGTCTGCCGTTTGTGTGCCGTCAGAACGGGAAGTTGCGTCCTCCTTGACTGCATTGTCGGCCCAAACACGGCCTTCGAGGAGCAATAGAACCCCTTATGTTGGTAGCTTTCGTCGTAGCTCTCTGTCTGCTCTACCTTCTTCATTCATCATGCATTCTTGATGCGACGGAGATCGTTACTCAGGGTCCTCCTGCTTTATGAACGACGAAGTAAAAATGATGCGGCCCTAGTACCATGCACTCGTGTATTCACCCCTTTGTTTAGGTCAGATTAGGCGTCTATTTTTTCCCCTACTCAGTGTCGGCTGATACATCATGAAATTACTTTTTGTTTGTTTGTCCTATTTTAAGAAAATAGGACTAGAGATGAACAATTGTTTCTTTTTATTTCCCCCCTCAGATTTGTACAGTCAGAAAGAAACTAATGGTCTGGGTACAACTGATCAGATTATTTTAAATGAAACAGATTACATGCCCCCTAGATTCATGAACCGACGGGCAATCTAAGCTAAGACATTTGCGTTTTCCATCCAGCTCAGCTGGCTTCAACGTCTTCCACTTTCGCTGGTTAGAGCAGCTGCATTGTCTGTATCCGCTGCGGCTGTGACTATATGGAGGTTGAAATAACCGAATACCGATTGCCTTGTCTGTTGCGAGTATACGGAGGCGCAAGCTTTTCCGTTGCTGAGAGGGGCTTACCCGGAATGCAGTTTTACTTCTTTTTTGATATCCATTGTCCATAAGGTGATCAAAAATGAATCTCTCAATATGCCTTGTGCTACTTTGACACAACCGACGTGTGTGTTGCTCATCGCCGCGCTTCGATAGATGGGGCGCCATTCGACCGACACTCGAATTGTTAAGTGACTGTAGACACTTGAATGGGGATTTTCAACCACTCTTGTTGATTTGGCCCTGAGGTGATTCCTCGATGTCGGACACTAGTAGCGTAACGTCGGCCTCGAAGCGTGCCTCAGGTGCATCCCCATTTCATCTGACTCATCATACGTTAGGTTCGACGGCGGCCAAGTTCCGACTCGCCATCAACACTGGTAAAACTGCATGTCTTTTTAAGCCATCAGCAATGTTGAGAGCGGTGGGCTTCCCGCAAATCCGT